CAGAACAGAGAGAGCGAGAGAGAACGTGGGAGATAGGAGATAGATGATAGATCGATTTATATATTATATATATATATAACGCGCGTGCGAGACCCTGCCTTCAAGAATCAGTAAAGCGAAAAATGATTGGGAAAATGCGCAACAGTCAATCTGGGTCATTTCAACTCTCCTATTTTACTTATTCTCAACAGATGACTCAAAGATGTTCTCATCCTGAACGCCTAAAAATGTCGCAGCTGGACTCGCCGCGTCGCTTACAAGCATACCTCCGCTTCTTGCGGGGATACAAGGGCCGAATTTTCAGAGTTATCGTGGGATTGCTAAACGTATTCCATAATTGCCATCGCGCAGCATGTTCAGAGTACCATGCCGACGGCAATTATAGAATACAAGTGTCCGACGTCGTATATAGATAAATGGTACTCCTGGAACAGGCTGCCCATGCAATTATGGAACACCTGAAGAATGTTAGTAGGTTCATTATACCGAGAGGGTTGAAATGGGTTCCGATCTTCGTAGAAAACACATCATACTAGATTAATTACGACTTCCTACATGATAGCCTGCTGTCTGGTTCATAGAATTTTTTTCTGTTGATGTATGAGAAGATTTTCTTAAATGTGTTGCGAGCTAACGTTCGCCGTCGATATTTCTTATGGGTTCTTATTCTAATTTCTTTATAGCGGCTGCTATGGAGCGCCGATTTCGCCCCCAGGTATTTAGTGTGCCGCTTTCAAACCCGCTTTCATTAGTGACTTGTATGATAAAGCGTGCTCGAAGGTAACGCTAGACTGTTCTTGTTTGTCGCTGATGTAGGTCAGAGCTGCTGAACAGCGGTATATACCTTGCATCTCTGAACGCGCCGCGTCTGCCAGCGGGTCGTTCCACAGGGCGCGCAATGTATGACTACTCACCTGACAATGCGATCATTGCTCTGCGTGGGCAGTGTTGTGCATGGCTACTGGCTACGCACAGCACGCGAACTCATGCAGGTACTGCTCTTGCGCAGGTGCTACCGTGGGCACGCAGGCGGAATGTGTGTGTGGGTGGATAAGGACGCGGGTGGCAGCGGGAGCTATTGCGATAGACGAGGACGGTGCGGTTCGAATGATATTAATATACCGCAGATACGGACAGACAGACATACAGGTAGGGAGACAGGCCGGTAGGAGGCAGGTAGCAGCCAGGCAGGCAGGCAGGCAGGCAGGCAGGCATGGGCAGACGAGACGACAGACGCGAGGACGGAAGACGGAATGAGAGAGAGAGGAAGAGGGCTTTAGGAGCGGCAAGAGGAGCTGACGAGAGGAGAAGACGAGAGAGAGAGATGATGACGAGAGATGAGGAGATGAGCGAGAGAGAGAGACGACCAGAGAGAGAAGAGAGAGAGAGAGAAATAGCGAACGGGACGAGGAAATATTTGCCACCGTAGGTAGAGTAGTTACCAACTATAGTACTAGAGGTGTTAGTGGAAAATGTCAATGTTTGAGGGAGGTTGAACAAACGCGGCCAGCCAGTGTTCAGTTGGACAGCCGTAATAATAGTGGTAATGGTGCGTGGACTTAATTCCTAACAATCCCGATTCCCGTTTGGGTGCCCTAATTACCAGTATTTTGACCTTTCCAGTTTCAATAAACAAAGAAAATTGCGTCACACAAATCTTAGGAAGTGCCCTGTGAACAACCGCTGTAAACCTACTGCCATGCACACCGCTGTAAACCTACTGCTATGACACCGCTGTAAACTACCTGCTATGCACACCGCTGTAAACCTACCTGCCTATGTACACGCTGTAAACCTATCCTGCTATGTACACCGCTGTGAACCTACTTGCCATTTACACCGCTGTAAAACCTACTTGCATGTACACCGCTGTAAACCTACGCTGCTATGTACACCGCTGTAAACCTACCTGCGTTATGGACACCGCTTGTAAACCTACCTGCTAATGTACACCGCCGTAAACCTACTGCTATGTACACCGCTGTAAACCTACCTGCCACTCGGCACACCGCTGTAAAACCTACCTGCTATGTACACCGCTGTAAACCTACCTGCTATGTTACACCGTGTAAACCTACCTGCATATGTACACCGCTGTAACCTACCTGCTATGTTACACCGCTGTAAACCGTACCTGCCCTATGTAACGCTGTAAACCTACCTGCCATTGTCACACCGCTGTTTAAACCTACCTTGCTATGTTACACCGCTGTAAAACGCTACCTGCTATGTACACCGCTGCTAGAAATAGCAGCGACGGTGATGTAATTATAAATCCGGCGATTATCAGCCATGTCCTTTTGCCTTGGCTGTATGAAGTGGATCTGCTGAGGCTCGTTCGTCTTCGTCCCTGTAGGTGTTGCGCGACCTGTCAACGTGCAATAAAATTCCACATATCATGCATGCGTCTAGTTACCCGCCATCACTGCACCTATTTCACTTGTCCAGACCTTGATCTCGCGGTGGCTGAGAGATGAAACGATAACACATTTACGCAGCGATTACCTAAAAAAATAAATACTTGTTTTAACCATTCATCATGCTCGACGCAGTAGATTTTTAAAGAATATCACGGAAATTTCAAAATTTGCATGTTGAACCTTGACTAACATACACCTGACCGACACGCGGCATATATATATATATATAATGAATTATACCATTTTTTTATTTAGCGGGGTCGGTTCTGGGATTCTAATTCCATTTAC